GGGAACACACTTGGGTCGTGGGCTGAGAGGAAAGGGAAGCAAGCTCGTAACATACTTTAGTCGTAAGCCAAAAAACCCAATCTGCATATCTAGCCTACTAGACCACTTGGGTCGAGAGAAAGGCAGCCCCTCCATTGTCGTTGTCAGGCCGAAGACCATTTGGGCTTCAATCCCTTTGGTTCTCGATCCACTTGGTTGCTAGTGTTTTCGTATTTGAGCCATATTTTACAATTTCAAAGAAAAAATACAACCACAAGAAAAAACAAGAACACAACCAAACAACTTATATCTAATCCGGTCAAAGACAATGCATTCACTCCTATTTAAAAACGATTTTGATGAAAACAATGATTTTCCATGCATGGGAAAAATTAATTATGATAATACTTTTCTAATTTTAAAAGTATTTAAATCACTAAAAGATTAAAAATAATTAAGTTGTTTTTTACTATGTCAAAGAACATGAAAAATCACATTCAAGAAAATCAAAATCCAAAATAATTATGTGATCTAATGCTCCTAAACCAACCAGATACCACTATTGATACATATCAATATAGCAACATAAGCAAAATCGATATTTTAAAACTTTATAATTCCGAATCAAGGGATCCAATAAGAACGATTAAATCAACAATTAACGATCATATGATATTTTAGAATACTACATCAAAGTTGGAGACTTGATTATCAAGTGTATATAATCTATAAGACCCATGTTCTACATGAACATCAATTGCTAGACTTCCAACTTAACAAAACAACACAACTTCTCATTGACTTGTCCTTGGGATCGAAAAACATGGAGAATAAAGGGAGCGTGTGTGGCAAACTAGAACTTGTGGTTGTTTAGGATTTCTTATTTAGCTCAATAAGCACTTTTTGACAAAAATGCATATTAGCTTATGTAGTGACAAAAAAGAGTTTTTAAAAAGTGTTTGAATTAGTGGTGTCAAAAAATTATAAGTTGATAAGTCATTTTAAAAAAATGTTTGAATTAGCTTATAGTCATTTTATAGTTATTTTAGGTGAAAAGTCATAAGCATTTTTGAAAATTCATGAATTTTTAACTTTTTAAAAACAATGTTTTTAGGGTTATGAAAAATATAGTTATTTTAGGTGAAAAGTCATAAGCATTTTTGAAAATTCATGAATTTTTAACTTTTTAAAAACAATGTTTTTAGGGTTATGAAAAAACGTTTCTAAAAGCATTTATCAATTTGCTAAACATTTTTTAAATTAATTGACTTTTTGAAAAGTGAATAAATAAATAAACTCTTCTCATAAACAATCCCAAACATCCCCTTAATCGCACTTTAGGGCTTGAATAGTATTTTCTATTTTCTCTAGTACTTAGAATGACCACTAGAAGCTACATTTTACTTGTAACAAGTTGGATTTAAAAAAAAAACATTCATAATCAACAAATAAAAGCTGAAAGCCAAAACATTATTAATTATAATATATAAACCCCTTAAGTAACTAATAAATTATTTTACTTAACTCATTAATAATAAAACAATTTATTTATTTTACCATCGTTTCATAAATAATAACAAATAATTTATTTTATTTAAGTTGGTAAATAATAAAACATATCCACTACAAATATTTATTATTTATCTGTTTCTTTTATTCTCATAAATATGTCACACTTATTGTTTTGTTGTTCCTTACACATTAATTCTAACAATAGTGCCACATCCGTCATCTGGAAAGCAAAACCCTAGAATAGAAAACCACAAATTCTACAACGAATCGATCAGAGGTGGGAGATCGAAGAGGCTTGTGGAAGAATTGCGGAAGCAGTAGTCTTCTGGAAGCGGTGGGTTTTTAGAAGATTCGGGGGGAGGCGGTGAAGAAGGCGAAAGGACCAACTCCATTTTATAAGAGATTGAGCCAACTAAACACAAGCCACGTGCTTGAAACCAACCATCTAAAGGGAAGGTGGTTTGGCACAGCTAAAATCTTGTCACTGTAGATAAGCTTCCTTGGTTTTCATTGTATATATAACATGGGTTTTGGCAACCCCGAATGTTGAACCACAAGCCTTTCAAACAAACTAATTTGCTCGTTGAGTGGGCTAAGATTTGTTCATACAATTTGGCTTTCATGGATGGCTAAAATCTAGTCGGCATACAACTTTTTATAGTTTCCCATGATTTGAACAGGGTCCGACCCTCATTTCAGTGATGCTGGTTAATAGGGGAGGACACAGGAATATCTAGCAGTAATGACACCAAAAAAATTCCGATCAAATACTTCCTCCGTCCCAATATTATTGTCAACAGACAAAAAACACACATATTTAAAAAAAAATTAATTACCATTAACTTTATTTAATAAAATGACAGTTTTGTCCTTACTTTGCATTTAATGTTCTATTAAATGCTTAGTTGGTTAAGTAATAATGAGAGGGTATTTTGATAAAAATGTTATTTATTTTTAGAAGTGGACTATTATTTTGGGACAAACCAAAAAGGAAAGATAGACTATAATTTTGGGACGGAGGGAGTATAATAATATAGAACTGAAAAACGGGTTTGTGTTGGGTCGGATAGAGATATGTCAAACCTATGAAACCCTTCAAACTCAGACGAACTCAAACCAAACAAAGTTTTTACTAGAAAAAATAGTTTGAGCAACGTTAAAGAAACCAAACTTTAAACCAAGTATTTTAGGTTTGATAAACTTTGCAACTTGAATTTGCAAAAGGCAACCTACAAAAAAAAAAAAAAAAACCACCAAACAAGATGTCTTCTTCTAGTTTAGAGTTGTTTTTTTATAGAAGAGATTTGACTCTCATCTTCCCTTCCACCACCGATATAGGATCATATGAGATTCCTTCATCTTTCAATATTTCAACAAGTAGAAAAGAGTTTCTCATTTTTATTAGTATTTTTTTTCCCAAAACCGGTGCCACGAGGTTTAAAGTTGGAACTTAACATAATAGATTATGCATAGTTAGCATTACAAATTAAAGTTATGTGTAAAAAAATAACATAATATTTTTTATTATGTACTTGTTTTGGTGGTTGACATGATCATGTTGACAATTATAACGAGTTTTTCATTTTTATCAGTATTTTTTTTTACCAAAACCGACACCACCAAATTTAAACACAGAACTTAACATAATATATCATTTATAGCTAGCATTACAAATAAAAGTTATGTGTAAAAATAACATATTAGTATGTTTTATTTGGTACTTGTTTTGGTGGTTGATATGATCATGTTGATAATATAAATAAGTTTATCATTTTAATTAGTAGGTTTAAACCCGAAACTTGACATAATATATCATCCATAGTTAGCATTGCAAATAGAAGTTATGCGTAAAAAACAACATATTAGTATGTTCTATTAGGTACTTGTTTTGGTGATCTAGACTACAAAATACCTTTCGATGCATAAAGTCACAACTCTGAGTTTCTCCTCAAGGATGATGACCTAGACTACAAAATACATTTCGATTATTTAGATCCGCCCATGTGCATCCTCACCATCATGTATATACATCCCTAACTTTCTCATTAGATAATCTTTACCCCAATGTTTCATTTTTCCGATTCAACTTGGAATCTAATTCCTGATCGGTCTCTTTTTTCTTAAGATATAACGTATCACCAAGATATTACCGGTATTCTACTTGAACATGTGGTCATCATATTGTGGTTCCTTGAGCTAATTTTAGATCCTATTCACCACTTTGACCATACCCACAATTGCCTTCAGCACATCATCAAAATTTTGAGCATAACCGTACTTCGTCTCATCGACCTACATTTGGAAACTCAGCTTCTAAATTTTTTAATTTTTTGTTGGCTACCATGTAGCACACATTAGCCTCATGAATAATAGTATCGTGAACAGTAAACGTCGTGAACAGTAATGGCAACTATAAGGGTTAATCGAGATTGCTTTGATACCAATTTAATAAGACTAGGAGTAGAATTCTTTATTGCAAATCAATACGAAAGAAAAAAATACAAAAAGGGTTCCTCTAATTCGAGAAATGGAGATCTCCACTGTGAGACTTAACTTCTGCCCCTTTAATACTTAACCCTAATGACCAATTTATACTTGAGGTTTCCTAACCCTAATCCTTAATCCCTATCATTTGCAAGTATTTTGCTATGTCTTTGCATTTAACCCTCCATGGTTCAACTTTTTTCATTAATCAGCTTGTACTCCTCCAGGGCACCGTTTACATAATTAGACCACCATGAGCAGCTTTTCAGGGGTTGTTTTCTCTTATCAGGTTAGACTCCCAAACAAATGGCACCAGAGACATAAAGGTTAAGGGTACCCAGCCAACAAAAGAAGGCAACCACACACCCTACCTCAGTGTTTCATGTGCTGTTATTGTGGTAGTCAAATTTGACAAAATCAATTCCAGAAGGAAGCCATGTTCACCAAATCAACTTAATTGGTATTAGTGTTTTGTCTCAGTTTACACCTTCTATATGCAAGGAAGCAGTATCAATCAGCTAAATGATTCTAATTTGATTTTCTATGTGATTTTCATGCCCAAACCATAGAGAAATTAAAGGGCAGTTCCTTTGAAAACTATTTCCATTCAATCAAAAAGTAAAAACTAGTTGAAATATCAATCCAGCTATCGTAATTAATAACACTGTTCCACTTACAGGTATTTATATTTTGGATATAATAATGGAGTGAAGCCAAAGGATATTAAACAAATTGTTTGGAGTTTGGATTCATTCATCCACTGTTGATTTAAAAAAGTATAAGAACCAAATTACAACTTGTATATGCAACAGTCTATAACCTCCTCCTAGCTATATGCCAAATATTCATATATTTGTAGAAGGGTATACACATCAAAGAAGTCGTATCCAAAAAACAAAAACAAAATGATGATGTCGTAGTCCCACAAGACAAACAAGTCTTTGTAGACCATGTTTGTGATTCAACACCAACGATATATGAAAACATATGTAATGTAACAAACTCACAGTGATATGTGCAATTGATCATGACAAGAATGAAGTTCCAGCATGATTATGGTGCAAAAGATTATGTGCCATTGAGTCTCTTGCCTTCATTGCAATTGCAGACCTCAATGCAATATCAGGAACCATTTCATCATCCACAACTTCAATCATCAACTCGGGTTCAATCTCTTCCCTCCTCATTTCACATATATTATGCAAAACACAACACGCCCCAAGCACCACTGGTAAATCTTGAAGCTTCATTTCTGTTCTCTTCTGTAAACATGTCCACCTACCTTTCAATCTTGCAAAAGCATCCTTGGATACCTTTTGAACATCACCAATCTTCTCGTTAAAAGCATGTTGAGTCCATGTTAAATGTGGTTGTGTGTAGGGTACTAGGACCCAATCCATTAAAGGGTATCCAGATCCACCCACAATCCATACACCTTTTAAAAGTCCTCCATTTGCTCTTTGATAAAGTGCGGATTTTTCCAACACTTGATCATCTGGCATCGATCCAGGCCACCCGATACACACATCTGTGAACACCCCACGTGGGTCCACAACTCCTTGAACTGTTACAGAATAACAAGTTTTTTGCTTTCTATCTGTATGACGCTTATTAAAGTAAGCAGCTACGTTAACTTTTGGAGCGATTATTGGTATATGAGTTGTGTACATTGATCCTACCACGTTTGGTATACCTGAAAGTGATTCAAATTCGTTGGTGATTACTCTCATGGAGTCGTCATTTGGCCATTGGAGATACTTTGGCATCAACACATCTTTTATAGCAGAGCAAACCTCAAGAACAAGCTTGTGACATGTAGAGATGCCTAATCCGAATCTTTTTGAAACAAGTCTTAAAGATTCTCCGGTTGCTAATCTCCATATACAGACAGCAACTCTTTGCCTTACAGGAACTGCGTCTCTTAACATGGTGTTCTCTTTGGCAACAGAAGCTGTAAGCTCATTGCATATCATCTCAAACGTATCTTTCCCCATTTGGAAGGCTTTACGAAACTCATCTTCTGAAACATCTGCACTGTTGTACTTATCCCACCAATCTTGTGATCGATTCTTGACCCATAGCCTCCTTTGTGGGCCATCGCCACCTTTCTCCGTCGCTACTCCACCGCTACTGGTAGCTAGATTCAAATCGTACCCAAAGTCAACTGCAGCAGCTGCATCCGAAGGAATCGAGGCAGCTGGCTTAGCTGTTCGAGACTTGCGCTTTTTAATCGGGTTGGATGTATCAAAGACATCACCATGTTCTTTCTTATGGTTAGCCTCGAACATCATCTTATCTTCTACCTGGGATTTATCGGACTTCTCTTGCTCCTCAACAAAAAAGAAAGAGGTAATAATCTTTGTCAACCCATTTGTCTCTGTCCCCTCCGTATCGCCTCCATCGCCACCACCGCTTCCATTGGCGACTTCAGTTTTCGCTACTTTTCTCCTCCGCTGCTGCGGCACTGGTTTGTCATTCATTCCGTCGAATTTCAGAAGTAAGCAGCTGTTAAGAATCTTGAGAAAGTAGCTACATCATAAGACAAAAAAACGCAGAAAGGGAAACTGGGTATGAACAGATGCAATTGTTCTGATCGACAAAATACCCAAAAACAGATGTGAACACAACAAGAAAGACTGTGATTGGTAATAATGAGGAGGATTTTGATGAAGAAAAAATAGAATTGAAATAATAAAAAATAAAATAAGGGATGAAATAGAGACGTGAGGGGACAGGTTGGTGTGAATGCGGTTTTTGAGTACTTTAAAAAAGAAGAGGAAAGTTCCTGGCAAGTGTCTACGATTGTTGGCGTGGGACGGTGACCTTTTGAAAGACGAGGGGGAACACCGGTTGTCACTTGGTATTGGTGCCGCTTGAATTGGAAATACAATGTACCACGTGGTTAGACTACAATATAAATATTTCTGCATATATTTTGTTCAATTGGAAAGTCATCCATCATTTTAAATCGATATTTTTAATTTTTCATTCAAGTAAATAAGTAAAGAAAACTATAATAATTATGGTACATATGGTATGATTGCATTGGGTTTGTTCTGGTTTAGTCTCCAAAGTTTCATGTTGTCTTAAATTATACTCTAAATTATTATAATTGTAACGATTTAATCACTATGGCATGTTATAGCATGTTAAGAAGATGCAAATTCTGTTCTAGATTAATCTTTATGGCGGCCATGTGGGTTTTTTATTTTCATTTTGTTCCTTTTTTTATAAATTAGTTTTATTATTATTGTTAAATTTTGTCTTTTTTAGATAATTAAATTATTTATGATTGAAATAGAAACCCATGGACCCATTTGCATTTTTCTTCATCCCATATCCAAACGCATGAATGAATCCAAGAACATGGAAGTTGGAACCATATCCAAACCCATGCCTTTGATCGAAACCAAGAACACAAAATATATGTGTATTCATCCTACATTTCCAAATCAAAATTGTAGATAGGAGTAGAAGCATCAATGAAATGATAGCTTATGGAATCCAGATAAACAAAAATAAGAACCGACATGGAGAATAATCAAAACATTGATCTATACGAAAATTAATATGAATATCTGAAAAAATTAAAAACCCATAAGAAAAAAATTCATGTATTTAAAAAGAAATTGATTAGTTGATTTTTGTACAAATGTATACAAAATATTGATTTGTACAAACATTATGTAATTTTAGTATTCAAAAAGATTTAAAAACTAGATGGACAAAAGTCAAGATGAACATCGATATGTAGTTTTGAAACCCACAACATCTTAGGGTTTTATCGATATATACCTTTGAAACCAAAACACTCGGGGTTTTACTCAAAAGTTTCAACCAAGATGAACAATAAAGATATTCTTCCTAAGTCGGTTGCTAAAAGAAAATTAGAAAAACGGGAATAGAATTCAGTTGTGGAATGATATTTGGCTTGGAGATCAAAAGTTGTCTACTAGATTTCCACATCTTTTTCATTTATAGCTGATGCAAAATTTCTTAATTGTTGATCGAAAAATGACTTCAGGTTGGAGGTGGTGTTGGCGTCGTGATATATGTGGAGGAGAGGAACGTTCTCAGTTAGGTAATTTGAATATAACTCTGTTAGATGTTAATTTGACAGACAATGAAGATACTTGGTGTTGGAGTATAGGATCAGATGGAGGGTTCTTAGTCACGGAGACTAGAAAATGGGTCGGTAGAAAGATCCTTCCTATTGCTAATATTTCTACAAGATGGAATCCGCTCATTCCTATTAAAGTTAATATTCTGATGTGGAGAACTTTGCTGAATAGATTGTCGACTCGTGATAACCTTGATGCTCGTGGTATTGATGTGTCGTGTATTATGTGCCCGATAGGTAATCTGGAAGATGAAGATCTGAATCATCTATTTGTCAGGTGTGAAGTGGCGGCCAGAATGTGTAATTCAGTATTCATATGGCTACAAGTACAATTTAATTCTTTTGTTTCTATTCTGCAAATTTTTGAGCAAGTGGATACTATGCGTGGAACTTCTATTAAGAGGAGAGTAATTGAGGCGGTATGTTGCACGGTAGTGTGGTACTTGTGGAGGTTTCAGAATGATAACGTTTTTTGTAGTGGTAAGATAAGAAAAGATACTACTTTTTATTCTATTAGAAAATTTTCTTTTCTATGGATTAGTAATAGATTTAGAAAAACATGTTTTTCTTTGGAATTGTTGGTTGCAATTCCCTTTAAACAATTTGTAATTGTTTTTTTTTTGTTCTCTAGCTCTTCGCTAGAGTCTTCCTCTTCTTTATAAATGGTTGACTGTTTCGAAAAAAAAAGATGAACAAAAATCAAAACATCTTAAGCTTCAATCGACCAGTACATTCGAAATCCACAACATTGATCTAAGCATCATGAAAAGGGAAACCCATAAAAATGCATACAAAATCATTTCAAAAAAAATTCTACACTTTGGTTACAAGAAACCTTCATTGTGAATTTCGTAAATTTGAACCATGCATTTGTTTTGATTCCAATACCACAAACATCATACTTGTTACTACCATAAAATCGAATGATGCCTAGGGATGGAAATTTGATATGTGAGGGCCCGACCCTAACAGGTCGATGATTCCACATCTTAAGGGGTAACATGGCAAGGATAGTGAATAAATTTCACACCAGAAGTGGGGACGAGTAAAACACTATTCATCCCGTTTAACGCCTGGTAATCTCTCTCTCTCTCTCTCTCTCTCTCTCTCTTTATATATATATATACACACACACACACACATACATAATATTTTAGTCAAAATCAATTTATTAACTTTGTAACCAAAGTAGTAACTATAGAAAACAAAGTGTAGAATGTCAAATATGTTAAAACGTGTCGAAGATCTTGAGGAGAAAACAAAAATGTTTATATTCGTTATAAAGTGTAACATCCCAAAAATCCAGGTGAAAATTTTCATTTTTTAAAACCAATCCAAAACCGTAAGTGTTTACAAAACATAGTTTCCACAAGTCATAAACATAAATCAAAGTATCCCAAAATCATAATCTCATAAAATCTAGGATGTTGTACACAATCACGCCTTCGCCTTGTCATGATCATCAGAAGTACATGAAACAATAAACTAAAACTGTAAGACAAAGCTTAGTGGGTTCCTTAAAGTACCACACACAACCTTACCGATAACAACATGCATACATGAGCCTTCAGCCTGACTGGACCTGCAACCTATCTAGACCACTCTCGGAGCCTTTAACATGTCTGCTTCGCTGCACCGGGCCTACAATCTATCTAGATTGCTCTCCGGGCCTTCGGCCTAACTGGACCGCCTCGTAGGCCTTTAGTCTATCCGGACCGCCCTGGGTGTCTTGGTCTTCAGCACTAAGCAGGACCACCTCAACCCAACAAACCACAACATGTCGACATATACAATAACATTCATTAACCAACAACACAATAATCATATAGATCTACCAGTCTGACATATACTCAGTATATCATAAATCCAAAAAATAGCAGGACACAGATCTAACCAATCACTACAACATAACAACATCCTTTATACCAAGACTGTAACATCCCGTTTATTAAATAAATAAATAGATAAAATTAATGAATGAATAGTAGCCCAAAAATCTATAATATTTAGCGGGGTGTTGGTTTTGGGGAGCCAAATAATATAATTTGGATTTTCGGGGGTTAAAGTGTAATTCTGGGAGTTATTTTGTAAAGATTTTCAAAGGTCAGGGAGGATTTGGTAAATATTGGACCTAAATCTAAAGATTTTGGAGGCTAAGGGGCTGAATGGTAATATATGGACTTCAGTTGAAAATAATTTGTAGAGGAGGGGCTGTTTGGTAAAATAATGGGCTTGTTATGAAAGGATTTTTAGAGGCTGGGGCTAAAAGGGTAAATTATGGATTTAATTCGAAAATATTTCAGAAGGGAGGGACCAATCGTGTCAACATAGGATGAAGTTTCAAATGGATTCGGGGTATATAGCCCGTCATCCCGTAACCTTAACCCTATCTCAAACATTCAGCCGCCACCACCTTATACCCCCCCACTCCCTCCAGCCGCCTCCTTACCTGCTGAAGCCAGAGCACCCATCGTCAACCACCGCTATTGAAGCCGAAAACCACCGAGAAGCTGACGTCGCTATCTAGCTGCCGACGAAGACGACGGGTTGCTACTCCGACGTGATTCAGTCGTAGAGATCGGAAGACCGATGTTGTGAGGTTTCCGTAGTTGTGGTTGGGTCACTCTCTCTGACTCTCCTTTATTCTTCTACCGCTATGCTACCCTCGTTTAAGACGTAGTCTGTACCGTACACCACCTTCCTTCCACTGTTACATTGTTGCCGCCGTTAGCCGCTGCTGTTGCCGCCATCTCAGGCCACTGCTGTCGCCATACACCACCAGGTGGGTGGTTGGTTTCATCCTCCAAGCAAAAGGCGTGTGGGTGTGTTTTATTTGACCGAAAATTTAAAATGGAAGCCATCACCACCACCGTGAGGTGGTAACTGTCACCTCCAACCACCGCCTGCCACCACAAGGGTGGCTGTGTGTGTTATGTTATGTATGTGTTTATTTTGGATATTGCGATGTAAAATGTATTGTATGGCCGGATTATTCAAGGAAAACAACCCGTCACCTCCGTGAGGTGGTGGTTGCCACCTCACGCCGCCATTCTGTCGCCACCAGCCGCCACCTTGGATGGCTGTGTGCTTTTGGTGTGTGTGATTATTATTTTGGGATGCTTGGACATTTTTAGCCAAAAAGCATAACCACCACCACGAGGTGGTGGCCGGCGCCGCAAGCCGCCATTGACCACCACTACCCGAGGTGGTAGTAGGTGGTGCCCGACTTAATTAACAATTAATTAATCTAAAAGCTTAACAAATGGACTAATTAGGGCGTGATGGGTTGGAAACCCTAATTAGGGTTTAGAAAACCCTAATTTTAGATATGTTAATTTGGAATTGTCGGGACCCGCATGT